TTGGGGACCCATAGGAAAGATAAATCAAAAGTGAGATCTCTTTAACATCTCAAATATTTCTCCTAGACAGAAAAGAGGTTACTTTAAGATCGAATGGAGATTTTTCCTTGAGTCTCCTGCTTCTCAAACACTCTCACAATGGTCTCCTTTAAAGCTTTAGAAGAGATCTCAACAGCATCACACACTGTGCTCAAATATTTATCTTTAGCTAAAGACTCTGGTGGTCTCACATTTGTCTGCTTTAAAGCTTTAGAAGAGATCTCAACAACATAAAACACTGTGCTCAGATTTTTATCCTTAGCTAAAGACTCTGGATCTCTCACATTTGTCTCCTCCAAAGTTTAGATTAGAGATCTCAACAGTGTCACACACTGTGCTTAAATTTTTCTCTAATAGTCTGGGGGTCTCATATTTGTCTCCTGTAAAGCTTTAGAAGAGATCTCAACAACTTTACAAAGTGTGCATCAAGTCAAGTACTTGAAAGGCACTAAATAAAGGGAAAATCATAAATTCAGAGTTAAAGGCTATATTGGGAGAGAAATTATGCAGAAATAAGGATAATGTTACTTTTTATAACAATGTTTATGTACTTAGGCACATAATTTGTTGTTGGAAATAGTAATGTACCTATCTTTAAGCTCATATTGAGGCATTTGACTTGGAGCACACTTTGTAAAGTTATTGAAATCACTTCTGAAATTTAGAGGAGACAAATATGAGAGAGAAGACACATGTGAGAGATCCAGCGTCTTTTAAAGTGAAAGTAAAAAGTGACGTGACATGTGGCCAAGTATGGTTAACCATACTAGGAATTAGTGCTCTGCATTTAACCCATCCTAAGTGCACACACACAGCAGTGAACACACACACACCGTGAACACACACCCGGAGCAGTGGGCAGCCACTGATCTTGTTTGATCTTGTTTGAAACAGTGGAGGAGACAAATGTGAGACCACCAGAGTATTTAGATTAGGAGAACAATCTGAGCACAGTGTGTGATGTTGCTGAGATCTCTTCTCAAGCTTTAAAGGAGACCATTGTGACAGTGTTAGAGTTTTTGTCTCAGGAGACAAGTTTGAGAAGCAGGAGACTCAATCAAAAGTTTCCATTCAATCTTAAAGTAACCTAATTTCTGTCTAGGAGAAATATTTGAAATGTTAAAGAGATCTCTTTTTTAAATTTTATTTATTATTTTCTTCCCTCTGGTTAGCTTCAATGTCATTTATCCACGACATTTCATGCATGCATTGTCATATTTGAAGTTGTTTTATATAAACTGTTTTATTGCACAATGATTTAACAGAGGAAACCATAACCTATATTTACAAACATGCAAAAATGGGCTGTACAAGACAAAATTTTAATGCTAAACAAAGAAAAAAAAGGGAAAAAAAGCACTGGTATAGTGGTATAGTGTTACATTTGTTAAAAAAATTGTATTGCTCTATACTAAACATCTTGCACTTGTAAGTCATTTCTAGTGTGTTTGGAAAATGTGGTGTAGCCTATATACAATGCTGGATATTAAAAATACATTTAAAGGGGTCATATGACGTTGCTAAAAAAGAACATTATTTTGTGTATTATCCTTGATGTGAAGAGGCCTTTAAAATGCTTACAACAATACCGGCAGCATGTAATCATATTTAAAATAATTCATATTAATATAGCTTGCTATCGAAGATAAAGCTTTTTCTAATACTGCTTTCCTCTCATTCCGTTAAACTTACACACAACATTCTGCCTTTCTCTGCCTGATTCTCTTCATCTTATTCCTTTACTCCCTCACTCACGTTCTTTTGTGATCTGTTGAGAAGAAAAAGAGTTTCATGATGGCTTTTTCTCAGACTCTGAATCTGATGTATGCAGATGAACTCAGGAGCCTGCTAGAGTTGCCAGGGAACTTGAGCTTGAAGAATATAATTATATCTGTTTTAATTTATGTGTTTAAACAACAATAATAATTAAACATGGGGTCAATAGGTATTTTCTTGTTTTAGAACTGAAGACCAAAAACACAAAGAAAGCCCACACAGAAAAGACAGAAAACTGAAAAGATGCATACTGTGTTTCCATTTTTATGTCTGTATTCAAGCAGTGCAGTTATATGTGGTACAGCATTTGATGTTGATCTCTCAAAGGACTCTTCGAGTCAGCAGTTATCATCTTTTTATAGCTCATAGAATGAGCAAATCAGCTGTGCCATCATTTCTGGAATTTGGGCAGGACATTACTGAATATGGTGAGAACTGATTTGTTATGACTTGCTTGTATTATGTTCTCATTTTCTACTTGTACAGAAATAATTAATCAAGAGGTAGCTGGTACTGAAAACACTTGGTCGGTTTGCATGACCCATTCTAAAGTGCAGCACTGCAGCCTGAACACATCTGTTATCTGCTGTGAAGACTGTATTCCCGAACAGCTCTACTGTCACAGAAAACTTCACACCTGAACAACTGAGAGCTAGTTGTGGAGGGATTCTTTTGGCCCACACCTCCAACAACCTCCAACAGGAATCAATGGTAAGTCCAGTGCAACAGTTATAGATAATAATATTATATATTGTTTATTGATTTACAACACCCTAAATGATTTTGTCCCTCTGGTGTATTTTAGGATCAGTCAGTGCAAGTTTCTTTCAGTTGAAACAGCTCAGACTTACATTTTAGTCTGGGACTAGACTTAAACCTTAAGGCTAAATTTTGTAAACAATACATATAATTACCATGATTGTTTTAATTAAATACTGCTGTAGAATTATGCATGCAATATGAAAAAGTCAGTTTGTAATGAATCAGAACAGTGTCACAATCATAAAATAACATTATTGTGGGTGATTATTATAATCATTTAAAAAAAAAAAATGTCTTCTGTTCAGCTGCTAGAATCCTCACTGAAAAATTGTCTAGCTCCTGCATAGCCATAGCCGCGCACTTGTCCATGTTGGGTGTCCAATCAGTGCTCTAGATTAAGGTGAAGGGGCTGGAAGAATGGAGCGAAAAGGTTAACTAGGAAGGAGGAGGAGAGCGTGCGATCATCTGGTGTTATATTGTTTCACTAAATTTATAGCATAAACAATGCTGTAATGTGTTACTGTAGTTAGTGTGTTTGTCAAAACGAGAACGGAAACTTGTACTACGGAAACGGGTAAGACTTATTTCATCCCGAAATATTCCTGGTTGTCTTTATTCCAGCCGCCATTTACTAACAGTGAATGGACTATTTACAGAGACTGAACAGTGTCTATCTTGCTCGGATGGATTGTGTGTTCAGTTGGCGAGTCGTCGAGGATTCGTGGCAGTTTCATACGAGGATGATTCCAGATAGACTTCTGTGTTAACGGGTGCTCAGAATTCCTTTGGCCCTGAGGAAATCACCGTTATCGAGAGTTGAACGGATATCTAGCACCGGGAGGTGAAACACGCTCTTCTTACTGGACTTAAATGTATTTTTCCCCCCTGTGTTTGCTCCGTGTGGAGTGAAGTGGTCTTTTATTTTTTGATCACAGCGTACCCCAGCATCAAACAGGCCTGCAACGTAAAAACGGAGATTTTCATATTGAGTTAATTTTAGGGTGAGCTCATATTGCCGGCTTATTATTTGGGTAGAGTCTTTGAGTTTTGAGAAAGAGTTTGGGTGCTCAAATCTTAAAGGTTTTAAGTGCTATAATCAGGTCCCTGGTGCATCTACCAACCAAGGAAACGTGAAAAAGATTGACCCAGTAACTTTGCTTTGGTAAGCTTTTTTCTGCAAGCGTCTGAGAAAACGAGCGCGTCTGATTTCGCTCTCTTGGTGACGTGGCAAAGGGATCTCATTATAATATTACCGCCCCTTAATCTGTAAGTTTCCACCCACGGCGCCATCATTTTGATTTCTCAAGCGACAACGGTGTAGCAGCTCTAATGCCATGGAGAAAGTTTGAGCAGAACATGCTAACTGTTCTGTCTTTGGCTGCACAGACGAGCACAGAACACTATTTAGAGTCCCAGCCAGAGGAGACAACAGAGCAGTGGATTTATTGATGTATTTACTGTATACTGCTGCTGCCACACAGATCTAAAATAAACATGCGATTTATTTCCCAGCTGTTTACCTTCACAGACATAACCGACTGTTTTTGTAACTTGTGTTATATAATAAATGATCTGTGGAGTATTTTGAGCTGAAACTTCACAGACACATTCTGGGGACCCCAGAGACTTATATTACATATTGTAAAAAGGGGCATAATATGTTTACTTTTAAAATATGTGAAAAGTGGTAAATTTATATTTTTTGGGATTTATCTGTGAATTTGTGAAATTCCTATTGTTTATTTACCTAATTATTTTATTTTACATTGTGAAAACCCTGAAACTTGATTATTTTACATTCATTTAAGTAAATTGTTAATTTCATTATACTTGAGTGTGTTATGTGTATTAATTCGAGTTAAACAAAAGGGGTTTTATATATTTAGACTACTTATTAGTAAAACCATTATTTTAGCAACAAGAGAAACACTACACTCCCATTTTTTTTATTGAGTATGTGAAAGCAATTTAATCTTAGGGGACCCAAGGAAAGATCTTACAAACAAAGTTACACAAAAATAAGTTACAGTGAGTAAATTATCACAATTAACTCACCACTACCAAGTTTATTAATACGAACCCAGGGCGCTCTCTTATCTACCTAGAAAGGAAAGGGTAAAAAGCGCTACATATGATGTATGAAGTGCATTTTATGTCATTAAATGCTAAAGCATCTACTAATTGAAACACTGAACACAAGCTCTGTCTTATTAGGCCGTATGCCTTAAATGAATGAGTAAGGAAAATAAAACATGGTGTCCTTGCTCATTCTCGCAAGAGTACATTTTTGAAAGGGTACAGGTCTGTCTGTGAGGTGATTCTCCTATACGTGCTGAGATGTCATGCAGAACCAGGATCAAAAGTAAGCACAATTATGATTTGTTCCAGTTGATCTGAATTCACACTTGAGTTTGCTTTTGAGTTTAACGTTGAGAACGTGAGCCGATAATCCAATACACAATGTTTTGAAAAGATCCAACAACACGTCCAGCAGCTGCTCCAATAAAATCTCTATAGTGCCGACAGCCATGAACTTGTTCCAATAATGATTGTAGTTCAAGGTAACCGTCAAGGCTGTCTCCTATTTCTAGTAAACATTTCTGCAATGCCTCTTCTTTTGTTAGTTCCCTTGTTCCAAGTAGAATGCTCTCCTGATGTTTTTCTTCCATGTTTTTCTTCCTGTTTTCCTTCTCCTCTTCATATAGTTTCTTCTGTTCCTCTAGTTTTCTCTGCAGCTCTTTTTGTAGCTTTTCATCTTTTTCTTCCTTTATCTCTTTTTCTTTATTTATTAATTTGTCTTCAATTTTTCTCAGTTCATTCTGCATCTCTTGTCTTTCTCTCTCATTTTTTTTCTTCATTTCTTCTATTTCTGCTTCATATTTGGCTGTCAGCTCTTCTTCTCTTCTCATGGTCTCTTCTTCTTTCTCTTTTATGATTCTCTCCTGTCTCTCTCTGATGTTCGTTACCATCTGCTGTAACATCTCATTGGTGTAGAAACTATAGTCACAAGAGGGTTGTACTTGTTCATCGTGAAAAGCTTCAGTGTTTTCTCTGTTGTACTCTTGTAAAGCATTATCTACTTCTCTCTCAAGTTTTATGAGATATTCACGCTCTGCTTGTTCCCTTGTTTCACGCTGATTTTTCTCCCTGAGTTTTTGTTTTTCTTTCTTATGTTTTTCTTCCAGGTATTTTATGAAGTTTAGTTGTTGTTCTCCCAAAGCCTTTTCTTCTATTTTATTTTCTTCTTCATGTAGTTTCTGTTTCTCCTCCAGTTTTCTCTGTAGCTCTTTTCGTAGATTTTCATCTGTTTCTTTCTTGATCTCTTCTTCTCTCTTTTTGAATTCTTCCTCACTTTTTCTCAGTTCATTCTGCATCTCTTGTTTTTCTCTCTCCTTTTCTTTTTTCATTAGTTCTTTTTCATCTTCATATTTGGCTTTCAGCTCTTCTTCTCTTCTCTTGATCTCCTCTTCTTTCTCTTTCATGATTCTCTCTTGTTCCTCTCTGATGTTCTTCTCCACCTGCTGGAATGTCTCATTGGTGTAGAAACTCCCTCCATTTACTGCTACCATACAGTCAATCTTATCCAGCAGCTCAGAAACCTGCGTCTGATCTTTAGTGTCTTTGTTATTGAACACATGGTATCTCTTTCCACACTGATGGATGAGGTACTGTAAGTTTTCGTCATCTTCAATAAATTCTTGAATTCTTTTTCCTCTAAGATCATCTCCTCTGGTGAAGAGCACCATGGTATACATTCTGGATTTGTCTCCAAACATGTCCTGGATCATCTTCACTGCATCTATCTCCTCTTGAGTGAATCGTCCCAGTTGAATCACCAGCAGAAACACATGTGGTCCAGGTGCTGCCATTGAAACACACTTCACAATCTCCTTCCTGGTCTCAACATTATCAACTCCAGTATCAAACAGGCCTGGAGTGTCGATCACAGTTATCCGTCTTCTGTTGAACTCAGTCATTTCTTTCTGACACTCTCTGGTCTCTGAGCATGGAGCAACTTTTGATTTAAAAGCTTCTCTTCTCAGTATTGTGTTTCCCGTTGCACTTTTCCCAACACCCGTCTTTCCCAGCAGCACAATCCTCACTTCATTACCACCATCATCACCATCACTGTTTGTTATACCTGCTAATAGCAAAAGCAAACACAGTTATTACAATGATATTCATCAAAAAGTATTTCACTCCAAAACATCTTCTCATCTGGTATTAAAAGGTGTTTTTTGTGTTTAAATTGTCATTAAGCCGCATTATGGAATTGAAGGAAATCAGAAATATGCCTCATTGTTGAAAACTTTATAATAATTACAAGAACAAACAGCTGCTTCTTTGTAATCTCCCACTTACTGATTTATGTAAGGAATTATGCCATAATAGACATGTTTTAAAATGAAAGGATTAGTTCACTTTCAAATTAAAATTTCCTGATAATTTACTCACCCCCATGTCATCCAAGATGTTTATGTCTTTCTTCAGTCGAAAAGAAATTAAGGTTTTTGATGAAAACATTCCAGGATTATTCTCCTTATAGTGGACTTCAACGGCTACCAAACGGTCGAAGGTAAAAATTTCAGCTTCAGCGCAGCTTCAAAGGGCTCTACACCAGACGAGGAATAAGGGTCTTATCTAGCGAAACGATCAGGTCATTTTCTACAAAAATAAATAAATAAATGTATATGCTATATAATGCACGTCCATGACTTCACGTAATAGGTAATCACTTTGAAAAGGTCACGCTTGACGTAGGCGGAAGTACCAACTTAGTCAGTGTTTATAAATCTGGAGAAGGAGGACCGTTCAAAAGTTGTTGTATGTTCAATGACACATATTCAAATTTGTTGTAAATGGCGTTTGACTTAGTCCTTGCACATTCGACTTGTAAACACTGAGTTGGTACTTTCGCCTACGTCAAGCGTGACCTTTTCAACGTGATTACATATTACGTGAAGTCATGGACGCGCATCGCAGAGCAGTGCAATGCGAGCATTTGTTTATAAAAGCATATACATTTTTTATTTTTTTTTGTAGAAAATTACAGATCGTTTCGCTAGATAATACCCTTATTCCTCGTTTGGTGTAGAGCCCTTTGAAGCTGCACTGAAACTGTCATTTTGACCTTCGACCGTTTGGTAGCCGTTGAAGTCCACTATAAGGAGAATAATCTTGGAATGTTTTCATCAAAAACCTTAATTTCTTTTC